CCCAAACTCGATTTAACAAATATTGAAGGAAATTCTTCAAATTCAAATGTTCAGGTTTGACACAAGTCTAGTCGTAACATTAAAATGAGCTCACGGATGCTATAAAGTTTATCACAAAAAAAACGAAATGACAGAAATACTTCAGGTCAGTTTTTAGTATGTCGCGAGTTTCGGCAATGTCTCTCTGATATGTCGTAGAAAATTTGTATAAATGCTATTTAAAGTTTTAAATTGTTCTGTAATATATCTTGAAACGTATTAAAATGAGTTTCCGAGTTTTTCATATTTTCTGAAGTTCTGGTTAAAAAATAAATTTATCAATATTTATATTAGGAATTGTAATCTTTGTTAGCTCTTATTACGAAAATTATTCACTTCTACTAACATTATCTGTCTCGAACAATATTTAGAAAGATCGCACAACTCGGTGTTGTTTGAGCGATGTGAAACTTATAAAAGAATGAAAGAATTCATTTACAGTCTCCGACAAAAGTCCTTTCTCCTTTCATCTTTTAATGCCGCCATACTTTGCATCAAATTTATTACTGAGTAAAGATATGACACGAGAGTTTTATTAGGGTGATCTGTACACTAAAGTGAAATAAAACTTCCATGTCATATCTCTACTCATTAATGAATTGAATACAAAGGTTGACATCATAAAAGGATAAAGAGGGGAAAGATTTTTGTTTGACGGTGTACGTCTTACAAGAAAATCTATGCATGATTTTTTTGATATATTTGATTCCTAAGAAAGAGTCAAACAACCGATTCTAAAATGAAATGGTCACTCAAAAAACATGAGGTTGGTGTACGTGTTCTACTTATTTATCTGTTCGAAACTTGATGGACTAGAACATGAGTGATCACTGTATAAAAATTGTTAATAAATTTTGATAGAAGACTCCATTTGAGACACTGTATCTCAATAAGGGTATAAACGCGCATCATTGCCCATCTATTAAAGATAGATGATGACATGCTCTACCAAATAACAAAATCAAACTCGAATTAAAGTTCCGAAAAAAATCGGGAAAATAACTGCATTATTGACCAGTGGTTATTTTTTTTACTATAGTGAGTGTAAATTTTTGATCTTATTATAGCCTAAAGAACTTCAACAAGCCCAGATGGCCTATAATATATAGTAAATACATAACACTGCATAACTATATAATAACTAATGATTATTATTAGATTATCACTTTAAAACATACAATTTATTTATATGATCCTATTAATGATATTCACCAATTTTATGTACTTTGTAGTATCTGCTAATTAACAGACACTCATTATAAAGCAACGTCCAGGATGCACTTAAATGCAACACCATAGTAGTTTCAATAGTAGCTATGACATATATTCAAATCTCGAAAATCGACTTTGTCGCCTGACTCTCCACTATGCTCCCCACAGACGATGACAGACGTTTTTGATACACGATTAGCGATCATAGATTACTAGCATCTGATGAGAGTATATGAACTACTTCCTTCTTGCAGCTCCAGAGGATTAAGTAAAAGATGATGAAGAAATGGGTGTCAAGATAGATTGAATAAAGCAATATTCTCGTGATTAGTAACAATAGCTACATCGTTTTTCACATTTTAATCCGACAGAAATTGCATTAACAGCTGTTTTAGACTGTTTCACAAATGTTCTCTTCAACTTTCCAATATTTGAATATATGAGGTCAAAAAGAATAAATAAGCAAAACTAGAACTAGTAGTGAATTTAAGTGGAATAACGAGTGCTTTGACAAAAAAAATACCATTGAGCTGCCATCATTGTGGGCATTGGTTTAATGGAAAAAACAGTCAGTTAATTTTTCTAGAACACTTGACTAGATCACAGCAAGATACAATGTATGAAGGTGACATTACTTTGATTTTTATATGTGTATATGTATCAAGATTTTTCGGCATTGGGTAATTGGTATCCTTTCAAAAACCCATGGGTATTACTTTTGACTTAGTGGGTAATTACCCAATGGCCGTAACCTTGGCTACGCCACTGGAAATCAGCTAAATAACGAAATATAATTATGTACAACAGAGTTCAAAAAAGACAGTTATTTCATTCTGAATTGCTGTGTCGACTTGTATTTGTATTCATTGATGTTTCGATAACGTTCTTATTGAAAAATGTCTTATGTGAATTGTTTGTCTCGGACATCAGATAGTGTGGTATACGACTGAATCAGTTTAGCAAAAGCACTAAATTTTATTTTCAATACCAATGTATTATTTACAGGTTGGAAAATTTTTTAGTCTCTTTCTTCGGCATAAGTCTCTGTTTTCTGTTTGACAAAAAGAGTCTTATTTTCATATGACGCGAAAAATAAATGTTTCTGCTTATACATTTTTTCTGTTCTTTTCTTCTTCATTCTCAACTTCTAAAAATTCTATAAGATGAATAACAAAATGATCGATTTCAAGCATTGATTTTTTTCAAGCAAAGAAAGCAACTGTATCATGATTAGATACAACGCGAAATTTTTCATTATTATCAATACAAAATATATACATAATCTTGTTAAATTTGAACTATCATATAACTGTTGTATATTCAGCGTTTTACATAGTAATCTATCGATGGATAATATGGATACGAGTGAAGCGAAGACACATACTCACACGTCGATCCGAAAATTCTCTTTAATGATAATTGAAGATATTTATCTGCGCCTTCTAAGTACATAAACAACGATGTATGAGTGAAAATATTGCGTTGACAGCCACAAAATGGGTAAATAGTGAGCGTAGATTGAGTCATGTCGGCAAACCTATCTAGATGACCAATTAGACTATGAACAATATGTGTCATTCGAAAGATGTTCAATTATTTTATTTAACTGTAAAAGTGTAATCGAAATAGAAATAAACGGATATGAATTTGTTTATCAACGAATTCTAAATAAAACTTGTTCAGTTTGTTAAGGGGTTTCATCTTTTCGTACTTTTTCCGGTCTCAGCCTTCGCTCAAGTATAAGACGTCACCAATTCTAAGTTTCGGAAGGAATTTGTTTTTCAATGTTTTTGCCATAATTGAATAACGTTCGTCGATTTATATTAGACAATATAAATCTGAAAAGTTTTCAAATATTTTCTCCAATACCAAAGTCGAAGTCTTGTTTTTTTCTATAAAAGTCTCTTAAGTGGGTGGTTCCATGAAAATGTCAATATGATCTGTTAAAAATGTTTGCCATTGAGTCTCAATAAAGTCATTTGAGTTCCGAATGTTCGAAATTTCGACTTCTCGAAAGTATGACAATCACTTAGAATCATGAGATACTAAACTTGATCGGTCAAAAGACTCATCAAATGACCGATTAGGAATATTTTTATTAAAAATAAATCAGATATTTACAAGATATTTCATAAAAATATAGCCAACACTTGAACTATCGTCAGCTTTGATCGAGTTCAGAAAATGAGTCATAGATAGTAAAGCTAGATGTAATTTCTGGTGATGGAAAATTATTCTGTGTTGAATATTCTACAATCTCATCATTTATTTCAAATGCTCTTCTTCGACCAATATGAAATAGATCCATTGTAATTCTATGATGAAAGTTTTTTTCGTTGATTTGTTTAATTACAGTACGTGATAATTGTGAATTAAGTCTATAATTGGTTTGGCATTGATTTATAAACTTTCTCAAACTTTCTCCTTTATGGTCACTTTCTAATGATACATGATAATTAAATTCAAAGTAATTTCTAATTTTATTCCAGAATAATTTCATATCAATATCAGTTTGTGGTACACCTTCATTTGAGGTTGAAGATTTGATTTTAATACGTACAATATTAAATTCTTGGAAATGTTGATGTGCTTCTTCTTTGATTTGTTGAACAATGGATTGATATTCACCGCAATGAAAAGATGATGTCATTAATTGTTGAAGTTTTTTATTTCCCTGTTTTGTATCTAATTGAATTAATAGGAGATTATATTTTGTATTGTCACATAATTGTTTAAGTTTTTCAATAACTTTTTCAGTATTTTGTGTGCAATCAAATGTAATTTGTGCTTCGAAAATACCTTTAATATTATTTGTTGGCACAAGTGCATCTAATCTGGATTTAAATTCATCACTTTTTGTGCGAACAATTCAACAACACTGAAAAAAGGACAATTATTTCTTTACAAGAATAAAAAAGATTCGACTTTTCTTATTTACCGTTCCATACTTGATTGATCTCCTGGATCACCAAGTATTTCTTTCATCTGATTGAATATATATGTTACTCGTTTATAATCATATATCGATTTTGTTTGTATCAATTGGTCAACAAAATCTAAGTATCGAATACCATGAAATAAATTTTTAAAGACATGTTTTCTACGCGATTGACGTTGTTCATTTGACATTGAACTACGCAGTGGATCATCTGAATTAATAATAGGACTATATTTCTTCATATCTCTGTACATTTCATAGAATGCAGCTCGTTTTAATTTTAATGTATCATAATATTTGTCTAAGTAAATTTGTCGAAAATCGATATTGTCTTTGATTTTATACTCATCTGGTAAGAATATGCATTGAACAGCCATCAAATAATTATTTTCTAGAAGCTTTTCGAAATTTTCCACTGAATAGATACAACTATCATATTTATTCAATAATTTATAGACTTCATGTTGATGAAAATAATCGAAATCCGTCCAAAATTGTAATGGATTTTGACTGCATGAACGGGCAATAATAAAAATATCTCGATCGGAGTTAGGTTTATTCGTGCCATAGACCCATGAACCATGGTGATAGATGTTAGCAACACAATCTTCACTTAAATTGAGATGATTTAAAATCAATTGAATGTCAGAACTATCCATATTTAACGAACGAACTATAATAAATCTGTGCTATGCATCGAACAAGTCCTCTATATAAGCGTTCGCTGAAATATAATGTGGTAGTTGTGTAGCTATGACTCATACAGGTGTAATTTCATCACGTGCCATCATAAAACTATGGAGATATACGTTGCAAGAGGAAGAATGACGAAATATTGCCGACCATTCGACGATCATTGACGTCTAAATAAATTAATATGTTACTCAGTTCGAAATTCTCTGGCAGTCACTATTGGTCTTTATTGATTAAGACAATTATTGCTTCTGACAAAGGGTGAATGTCGACGGATGTATTAGTCTGTTGTCGTTAATATTTGACATGTTGGGATAAATATTCATTCAATTCAGTTGTTGCTTTTATTAGTCGAGATGGAAACAAAAATATTCTATAAGAAAAAAGTTGCAAAAAACTGCATTTGAATGAGCTTTTTTTTTTATTAACTTGGGTGTTTTCGCTAGACTTTAAACTTATTTTTTCCCTACTGAAGTCTTTTTCTATTCGTATGTAGACATCAATTATTTTATCGTATTTATACCTTTCTATTGCACGTTTCTTAGAAACTTCTTTGCTTAAAATTCTAAAGACTTCGGAAAAGATATATTGCAGTCATTAATGCAAAATTCGAAGTATTACAGTCTATACGCAAATACTCCTACTATTGATTTATACTTAACCTTTTATTAGATGATGAAAGACCGATTGAGTGTGTCAACAATACTTCAACTTTTGCAACATTGATTACAATATATCTTTCCTAAAGTATTTAGATATTTCTAACTAAAGTCGCACATTAATGCACAAAATGTTTTTACAAGATAAATTTTCTATTAATTCTAGTTTTTCTACGATTACCGTGTCTGAATTTTTCGTGGGGTGAAACTAAACATTTCTAATATACATGCGCATATACCCTTTATCTCCATGAATGTCATCTATCGAATAGATCATTTTGAAGATTGTAAACAGGGATGTAACAAATCTGAAATAAAGTTGGGACTCGAAACTAAGAGACTAGAGATTTGATTTTGGACCAAATCCACATAAATAATTTGCAATTCAGTGACTGTTACTGAGAAAGCAAACTGTTTATATTATTTTTGCTCAAGACCAAACTCGATTTCAAATATTCACAGCTTGATTTCAAATCCCAACATCTTTTTCTGTTTGTGCTGTATCTTTAGTAAAGCAGATTGTTGTTGATATCACCTTATCTTATCAAATTCCACGATTGTAGGTTTGTTGCACTCCTCATTGTAAAGAACCGATTAAGATTTACCCGAAGGAAATTTTTAATTTACAAGTAGAGAAAAGCAAATATTTCTGCAAAAGTATTTAACCAATTAAAATACTGCATTAATGTTAGCTCTCGTTTTGGAGATTATGTAGCAATGGTAGAAGTAATATTTAGTCTGCCAAAATTAGAGAGCTAAACATGTTTTAATAATCGACTTTGTCGTCGTGTCATATATAGAATATATTGAGTATCGAGTGATCGATACGATAGAACATCAACAACTGCGCAATAACGAAAGACAAAAAGATAATCACGAGATGAATCATAGCTGAGAGGTTACGTAACAAATCAAATCAGAGATTCAAAAAATAGATAACATAAAATAAACGTTTAGCGTCAGTAAGCACCATCTACTGACGCTAACAATTAAGTCTGTTTTTTTCGACTCAATTTTATTATAGCAGTATTAGTTGATCCATGGGATATATACAACAAAAGAAGATAAGAGAAATATATGAATACTTTCACAATGCATCAATTTGATTGTCGAAGGAACAGTACATAGTCATGGATATAAAGAAATAAAAAAAAGACACAATAAAAATGAAAAATGATTTTTTTCTTGTTTTGAAAATAATCGAATTTTTATTGAAAACAAAGCAAATAGCATTCTTCAGCAACTTATGCACAAGGTCAGTAACGATAAACTAGAAGCTGATCTAAGCTAAATTTGAGTAAAATATTATGACAGAAGTAAACAAACATGCTGCACTTTGCTTATCTTGTTAAAAATAACTTCTTTGAATGCATTAAAAATATGACAAATGAACGAAATGTTGTAACTATGGAAGATCAGAAACTCTGTTAAGAATTTCAAAAAGCACTGTATGCCTAATTGTTGTATGACAAAAATTTCACTCAGTTCATGCCGTTGTAGCATGTTTTCTATAACTTTCATTTACCTTTTTTGTGAAATAACTCATTTTTCCCAAAAGGAAGCATTATAAATACTGCGCTCTAATTCGTTTCTGAGAAATTCTCTGTTTTCATTAAAAAAAACCTGAAAAAACACGTTGACACGACGTTTTTCAGATGGTGTTCCAAGTTGAGAAGATGCGTGGTAATAAAAAAAAGCCATGCTTTGAAACCCAAAATAGTGCTTTCTTTCAAAAATTAGGCGTCATAACGCTGTTTTGTACAATTTTTCAGGACTATTATTCTATTTTTTCATAAATCTCAAATATCGTCCGAATCCTCGACATTAATAGAACAGTATTCTCTTAAAATATATATCTCACTGAAAATTGATTTCTACACAATAGTGGCCCACTATAAAGTGTCGATTCTAAAAAATCTTTAGCTTTTTCATGTTTTCTTCATTTATCAAGTAAGATCATCTGTGTAATATTTCAATTTACACTGATTTGTTTACAAAAAACCTAAAATGACAAGAAGAAGAGGACAAACAAAAGACAACTATCCTCATTAAAAACTACCTTTGATGAAAGCTACAGTTCGTCCCACTCGTTGGAAATTTTACGTAGAAGTATTTGCAACTAAACGTCTTTCTCAAAGGTCACTCTAATTATATCATTGTTGATTGTGGGGAGACACTATTTTGCTTTATATTGCTCAAATTAAGCCAGAGAACTCATAGTCGAATCCAGATTAATGTCAACACAATTTTATTGCTGATACATAGCTACGATTTTGCTTGGTTTTTCTCTTTTCTTTTTTCTTAAGTCTATTGCAAATGTGCGAGAATGATTGCATCAATTTAACTCGGAGAATGAAACTGAGTGTGGATGTGGATCAGTGCAGAGAAGATTAACATCCACATCCACACCACTGTACCTCTTGCCTCTCAACGATGTGAAATACATTTGGTCACTGCAAAAATGAACAAAGTATAATTAAGTGTTATTAGCCTAATGAATCATTGAAAATGTTTTCATAAGTTTTGCTAAAAGACACTAAACTCATTCACAAAAAAATCGATGCAGAATTTGCTCGGCTTTACAGTAAAATTTTCTATTTCGTATTAGCTGAAGTTATCGCTATTTTTGATCAGTAGTAGTTGTGTGGAATGAATCAGAATCCATTTCAAAAGCTGCAAAAAACGACAAAAATATTTACTGCAAGTAACGCTTATGTTATTAATTTACTTCATCGTAATCAAAACAATATAACACGCAGCAATGATATTGAAGCCCGTCGTTTGAAATAAAGTGAAAGAAAAAGTATAATTTTCTATCAAAACTTGGCATCAAAGAGATTAAAGGCTTTCAATAAGCACTTTCCGAAAAAAACGCGCACTTGCATTGTTTTCGATCAAAGATAGTCCGCTGATAATTATTGTCACTTGCACCCTATAAATATCAGTATCAAGATCCGAAAAAGTATGATTGAAAAAGAAATCACAGGAACAATGTGTCTACTATTCGTTGTGTTGTTGGTGAGTGTTGCTCTCTTCGCACCAATAGACAGTAGTTGTATCGTAAAAGCGAATCCAAGTTTAAATATACGCAGTGCCGCATCAGCTACTGCATCCATCGTCGGTAGTTTGTTGCAAGGTACAACAGTTTCGTGTCTGGAACAAAAGAGCAGTTTTTGTCGTGTGGGTACCAATCGATGGGCATCAGCAGAGTATATCAATTGTGCTACGGTGACTTCGAATGGATACGATCAAAAATCACCTGCGGCTGATTATACACGCAAGACATGGCGTGGTGTCATGCTCAATCAACGTACAATTGAGATGATCCAACGTGCTGAAGTCTACATGGCACAAATGGGCAAAACAGGTTTTCAGTTTTCATTTAGTCAAGGTTCCTATTCATCCAGTGTAGCTGCTAGTGCTGGTACACATGATGGTGGCGGTGCCATAGATATTCGAACGTCTGTTGTGAACAATGATAAAAAAACAGTTGATACAATGGTAGTAGCATTACGAAAAGCGGGTTTTGCTGCTTGGTCACGTGGCCGTGTAGCAGATAGTTTTGAGAATAGCAAACATATTCATGCAATTGCTATTGGAGATGCTCAAGCATCATCAGGTGCAAAGAATCAGGTGGCAAGCTTCAAAAGAGGTCGCAATGGACTCAAGGGTGATGGAGTTGATCCAGATGCTTATTTGGGTCGAGCTACACCAACATGGGCTCAATAGATGAATTGTTCAACATTTTCAGTCTTGTTTTTGCGCATGATAATAAATGTCAATATTTGAACTTTATCATAGCAAAATACATACTTAAGAGTATAGATGAATATTATTGACTGAGCATTCATTCATTCATTGAGCATATTAAAGCTACTTCAGCGTCTATTTGAAATTAAGAGAATCTATTGGTAAAGTTATGTTAGTGCTTCAACTAATCATCACATTCGATGATACTATCAGGAACCGTATTTCAAAATCGCTTGTAGTTAATGGTTGTGCGGACTGTGATCAGAGCTGTGCAAGTTGAAGGTTTCTCAAGTCACAAATCAAGTCAAGTCACTAAAAAGAATTTCAAGTCAAGTCAAGTCAAGTCACACCTCAAAATTTTTTCGACCAAGTCAAGTCAAGTCAAGTCAAATCAAGCCAAGTCATTCCTCGAAATTTTTTTCCTAGAAGTTAAGTCAAGTCCGATTAAAAGTTAGGCAGAACATAAGATTTACTAGCACTTATCGGATGAGAATCAATTTTTATAGTCTCAGAATTCTATTTCATGGTAAAAAACAATGCCTATAAGAAACAGAACTGGGCAAGTCAGAGACTTCTCAAGTCACAAGTCAAGTCACAACCCAAAATTTTTTTCGACTAAGTCAAGTCTGACTTGACTTGACTTGACTTGAGACATTTTTGACTTGACTTGAGGCATTTTTGACTTGACTTGCCCAGCTCTGACTGTGATATACTAATTAGAACTGTATGGTTAACAATCTTTTTATTAGATTCAGTCATAATAGTTAAGAAGAATAATTACAACCACTATTGCTGGTTTCTTATGAAGCTCCACATTAAATCCATATTTTTCTTTTTTTCTAAGATTCTGTGAGACAAATGATTGAAACTTATTCGATTCAATTGAAATCGAATCGAAGAAAATCGAGCACTTACATATATTCGCGCTGAACTTATGTTCAATACAGACATAGTAGTGGATTATTTGTCACTAACTATTTGAATATGTCAATCGCATCATTTATCAGTCTTATCTCATCTCGATAAGTAAGTGAAAAAACACCCATAAGTGGCGACAATATCAAGATATGCCCAAACAAGCTTTCGTATATTTCTTCAATTGTTTTTAGTATATGAGATTTCTTTGGAAATGAAGAACTGAACTTCTCTTCATAGGTAATTTTCTTTAATAAAATAAAAATGAAGAAAGCAATTGGTGAAATATGTGTATCCATTCATTTCGGCGACACAAGATTAATCTTTCTTGATTACTATTTCCTACCTACTACGTTCTCACACAAAAGGTACTAGTAAAAAGTACCCCATTGGATATTTAGGAAAATTAGGACTGTGAAATTATTCTGATAAAGTCTTTGCTACAAACTTGCTGAAAAATCAGAAAATTTGAAATCACTAATACTAAAGTAGCTGCTTATTTGTGAGGAAAGTCTCTGGTAAAATAATGACAATTTTTTTTTGAATGAAAATATGTTCAAATGAGTGACTATTCAAGGGGAATGTGGCTGTTTGAACAAGTGCTGTACAATTACTCATATTATCCACTTGTGATGATTTGACTTATCGAATAGAGCGATTGCACATTTTTTGACATATCTATTCAAACAGGATCATTCCATGATTTGTCCAATCTAGACTATAAAGACAGATCGTATCTTGACGTTCAACATGAAATGAATCCTCTATTGTTTTCTTCGTTTCGTTGAAGCGATTTTAATAGTATGATCTTTTCCAAATCAAAAAGTTTTCATGATCCTGTGTAGTCTAATGATCATTTGTGTCGTTCTTCTATTTTTTAGGGTGAATTTTCATCTTCAATGTTACGTAATAACTGTACCTACACGGTAAACTAGAAAAGAAGTTATAGTGTTTAATGAAGGAAATTCTAGAGATGTCCATATGAACTCACCGATGAATTTTTAATTCTTTGCAAATAAGATATTCGAAATATTAAGAATAAGAAAATTGATTTTCTTATTAGAAAATCAATAGTGAATGCATATGGGCATTCCTAGAATTTCGAATTCTATTTAGCAATTCGAGTATTTTTTCAACAAACTGGAAAATTGAATTTTATTTTCATATCACAATGAAGTATCTTTTTTTTTAATTTTATTTTAATTTTAAGAAATTCATAAGCATTCAATTGATATAAATGCATTCAAAACGCATTGACTCACGCAGAAGCTGAAAAAATATAATGTATCAACTTTCACTACTGCTGCCGAAGGAAATAATGAATGCACAACACTACCGACCTGACTTATATACATTAATGCACAATCGATCCATAGCGGTCATTGCTCAAATCATTTACTCCAAATCGAGATTGATTTTTGAATTTTATTCGTAATCAGTCTCAATTTTCCATTGTTTTGAAAAATGAATTTTTTCGAAAATCAAATTGAATTTCTATATATTCGAAAATCAAGCATTTTCGAAATTTTCGAAATTCCACTAATGAATAATGAAAATTTGAAAACTGCAACTTTTTTAAAGTCGATTGCCTAAAGAGCAGAATTTCAAAAAAGTTGACAGTGTAGTCTGAATTCAATTGTGGCTGAATTGCCTAACAGTATGACATGTGCTTGTCAAGCTCTCTATCAGCAGCTAGCTGATAGTCACACGGACTGTACTTACTTTGCGACTTTCTTTTTGATATTTAGAGTGAATTTCTCGATCACATTCTATACGTTGAAGCTGTTCATAATCTCTCTGTCACTGTGTTGAAGACATATCGCTATTAATAACCCACGAACTTCTTGTGACTCGTTATAAGTATTCAGCAGTTGGTATCCAATGCTTTCATACTGCCCATAATCCTTGAACGGTGAATCAATTGCGATGTTGACAGTCAAATTTAATTGGTAGAGATTACACAAACGCGCTTAGCATGAGCACCAAGTTAACTACCTATTTGCTTTACTGCATTTTATTCGTTCGACCATTGTATTAGGAGCTGATTTTTATAGTCACAAAGATCAGACAATCTTAAAACAATCTCTTAACACTTCATCGTTGCTATGAAACACACGATTTTCAGACTAATTACTGTGAGAGAATGCTGTTTTTTTAGTCCCACACTGGGTAAAAAGTCTTCAAAAGCTTATGGGCATTTTGTATTCATAATACTATAAGATCAAAGACGAACTCAAATAATCCTTCCATTTTGACAATCTTGTGCGATAACCAGATTCATAACTATTTTCATCTATTAAATCATGTGCATAATTGAAAAGAAAAGTTTGAAATCGGTTGAAAATGAAGTGTACTATACTGTGTTTAAAATTGAGACGGTACAACAGGAGGTACAAATCGGTGGCAATCATTTTTTTGGGATATAAACTGCTACGTGATTGTATAGAGGAAATGAAAGAGAAACAACCATAATAGTGAATTTTTTGATTGATAAATAATGTATAAGATTCGATCCGAGAGCGACCCAGAAACAGAGCAAGCAAAAACTCTTAACCTTGAAAGAGATTTCAGAGCCCATTGACTTTTATATGACCTACAGCTGTTAAGCTTTGACAAATTTTTCGAATATTGTGCTCGATTTCGCAAAAACACTGGCTTTTCGTGCAGCTTCAACAGAAAAACAACAATTATTGTCAAAAAGCTCTCGCGTAGCTTTCTGAACAACGACAATATCCGCATGGAAAATCTGCAAACAATACGTGTCAAGGATACTTCATAATTCAACAAGTCTACCTCACTACACAGTAGACGACCAAGCGACAAAGTTGACTTTCGAGATTTTCATTTGAATGATGCGAACTTGTAGAACTATTGTGCTTCTATATTTTATTGTGTGTTTTATTATTTGAAAGAGAATATCTGTCATACAGATGCCAAAGTAGCTAAATGCCAGCTCGACTTCAAGATTCATTAAGTTAATTTTGGAAGTTGACTGAGGTAAACATATGAAAGAAAAAGGTATACCAAGTAGTTCAAATCAAGCAAATAATCATTTTGAATATCACCAAGAAAGTCACGATAGCCTAGTGAATGGACAAGACCAACAATTATACATGGTGGCCAAGCAATTATATAGAGAATTGAAACAGAAAATAATTGTGCTGCCATTCGTCGTTGACGGCTCCATGTGAATGATCGATGAAAACATCGCTTTTGTAAGATGATTCGTATGGCCAGTGCTAGATTAGCACATGCAGTCACTATTATGGGTACTCCATTATTAAATGTCCAGTCAAATGTACTTAGAACTGAATTGAAAAGAATATAACAGTTAGCGAGTCCACACATTTTTTCATTGAAATCCCATTGTGTAGTATTACATGGAAATAGAATGATGCTAAATAAATAAAATATTGATGGATAAATGAGACATAAAATAATTGGTAGATGATTTAAAAGTATGCGTGTTATACGCATTCGAAGAAGTTGTCCATGAAATATTAGCATGTGTCGTTGAACACAAATTATAGTCATTAGAAATTCACCTGTAGAACAAAGTGTATAATCGATAAAAGTCCACCAGATAATGACGGATACTATAATCGCAGGTATTTCTAATGTCAGTATGATTGCAAATTTAATACGATGAAATATGAACTTTTCGTTGTGAACTATTTCTGTCATATCACTAGTATTCATCGTTGTGACAGTTCAAGTTACATATATTGTAAAAGATTGTTTGTGTTTGTATCATAATGAATCAGTATAAATAGTTTTTACTGCCAAAATTAGTTTTTGATAGTATGCATTGTTTTTTTTTCTGTATCATTTCATCACATAAACCATACTAGCATCTTTTTTCTTATCTGTTTTCTACTATTCTATAATGAATACTAGACGGGAAGGATTCAACAATGTAGAAAGATTAGAAAAGCACATATTAAAAAGCTTTTTCAAATAGAAGGCATTCTTTTTAATCTGTATTTCACGGAAGCACGAACCAAGTTGCACATGGAGTTAAACAGTAAAAAAGGCATTAAGATGATGAAACAGATGTAGCAGTTGATGTTTGTCAAATTTGTTGTTTAAAATAGATATTTTTATAAATTTCATTGCATAATTTTGAGTAACAATCAGATTTAGTGCATTTGCTGGATTAAAATATCCCTTTTTATCAGCGAATTTGAAAAACATCAATTTTTATGTCAGTTTCATCGGCGAAAATATTTTTTTTTCATGTGTTTAATATAAAATTCACGAAAGTCATGAATTCCTTAAAAGTTCTTTAATTCCATAGGTTGCCTCGGAGAACAACTTAAAGAGCTATTCGTTGTGTAGAAACGCTTGCTTACTGTCTGAAAGTTGTTTTCTTTCTTTTATTTGTCACACCTTTAGTTTTCGTATGTTGGAAATTAATGTGACTGAAATGAGGATCTTACCTTAGTACAGAAACAGTCTGAGTTCAATTCGAAACTTATGATTGACTTTATTGCACCAACAATAAACAATTATGAGTAAAAAGCTGACACGAACCATTCGATTTACTGTTTGGTGCACAGATCAAAGGAGATTATCACCTAATTGTGTACATCAATTTCAGTCTTCGATGTATGATATTTCTGAATTTTACATAATAACTCACTTTTTGTAGACAGAGAACTAGCCGGTCATTCGAATGTTGGGCAATATGACTGTTTCTACTTTTATATTCTCCTAATGAAAGGAAATGTTCATCCCAAGATATCATAATAATTAATAATAATAATACAATTTAGTGTAATTTTACAGTGAATCTAGAATTTTAGACCTGCTGTATTCAGTGTGGTCATCAGCAGTACTAAAGATATCATTTGTGGTCTTTAAGTTTCCATTTATTAAGAAACAAACGATAGTGGGTGGAAATGAAACTATAACAACAGGAACTGAATTTTGATTTGAAATATATCAATAAGTAAAATAATCCATAAACATAAACATACACACCCTAATGAAACATCTTGTAAACAAGATCTTGGTCAAGACACAAGGTACAGAAATGTTAACAGATCTTGACAAAATAGGTACAAGATAATCATATTATCTTGTACCAAGATCTTGAATTAGATCTTTGGGACAGATTTGATAGATCTTCCTAGCACACATTCAAGATCTTTTGTTTAATATCTTATTTTTTATGATCTTTTTAACTGATCTTTGATACAGATAATTATATCTTGGGTACTGATAAGCAAGGTTTTAAAGATTTTTAGTCAGTATCTTATTTTCTAGTCTTTATTTAATATTTAGCAATACCCATTTGAACGATTCGTGTACACATATCTTCCTTTCAAATATTACATAACAAAAAAGTACGACGAGCGCACATGAAACACTATAATCTGTATGTACAATTATTACAAGCTGAACAATATAAATTTTTACAAAAAGTGACGCGAAGTAAAATTTACAAGTAAAAAGTACTGTTTTCCTGTTCTTATTAATGTTTGTGTTCAATCTTTTCATAATGATTAAATATTATGTTGCTAACTGTTTTCTTGGTGACCTTTATTATTAGCTGTTGGAGAATGTATAATGGTTGTTACTGATGGTGTTAGTATTAAAAATGATCTGTATTTAACGGCACCTGCTACTTATGGTAAAATAAAATCGATGATTATGTATATAAGAAATCTTCATCTAATAAATTTATAACTTCTAATTATATATAAATCTAGAACAGAAAGAACTACATAGAGCAGTGTCGTCGGCAAATAGACCATGTTCCGTGTGTTCCGGTATTTCATTCGTGGAATCTGCCGTGTATATAATATAAAGTAATGGTGGTAATGGAGATCCTTGTTGAGTACCGCTATTAAGGTTAAATGGTCTGGATAGTGTGTTTTCAATTTCGATTGCAGCAGTTCTATTTTGTACAAAAGAAATAAAGTAATTTGTTAAGTATTGTGGTAAACGTAATTCATTTAATTTATACATTGGCCCATCGTGACAGACAGAGTCAAAGGCAGCTTTTATATCGAATAATATAACAGCTGGATGACGTCGACGACCAGTTGAATGCAGATGATTTTGTACATATTTTGTTAACCTTATGATATTGTTTAAGGTGCTTTTTCGAGGTCGAACACCAGCTTGATGTTCTGGTAGGATATTACGTCGTTCAAGTATAACCATTAGTTGTTGCTTGATTATTTTCTCCAAAAGTTTGCCGAGGCAACTAAGAAGACTAATCGGCCGATAACTTGAGGGTGTTGTTTATCTTTATTGGACTTTAAGAAGAGTATAATGTTGGCATTTTCCCATCCACTTGGAATATATTTCATATTTAACACGGAGTTGAATAATTTAGTTAGATGTTGAATAAGTAATTCTGTGAAATTCTTCAAACATCTGTTCTGGATGCTGTCAGGCCCAGTGGAGCTATTTCGAAGTTGTTTGATGTTCCATTTAACTTCTTTTATTGTGATCTTCTTCCACTTGTTTAGTTTCGTGTTAGAAGATCCGTTTTTGATGTTGTACGTTTGTCTTGTCACTTGCTGATGAAACGGTAGTGTGCCAGGTGCTTTGACATAAAATTCATTTTGAAAATATTCAGTAAATAGATCGGCTTTTTCCTTGTCTGATGTTGCAGTCACGTTGTTGTATTTGATGTTGTTAAAGTGAGTTTGTTTAATTCGCTTGTTGTGAAACTTGCGAACCGTAGGCCATACTGAGTCTGAATACATTTTGTTTTGACATAATGACGACATGAGATTGTTAAAGTTGGTTTTTCTGTCGTTTCTAAGTGAATTTGTTAATAGCACCTTGTATTTATACTATTGTTGTTTTTCGCTACCTTCTCCAGTCTTTTTCCATTTCCGATAAGTTTTGTGCTTAAGCTGGATCAGATGCTTGGTCGCTTCACTTAGTCGAATATTTGTATTCAGTTGTTTCGATGTTGGTATGGCTTCTTGTGTTGCTGATTTAATGCTGTTGGTGATAAGCGATGTATATTCTTCTATATCTATTGCTGAAGTAATATGACGATGTTTGTTCCATAGCATTAGCTGTTCATTTAATTTGCTTCTAAATTTTGACCAATTTGCTGCTTTGAAATTTAGCGATAATCTTGGAGATGCTGGTTTGGGTTCGATTCCAATTGGTATATCGAAGGTTAATGGTTTACGACCACTTAATGTACCGATTGTTGCATGTGTTTCGACGTTTGATATTAATGAATGAAGTGGCTGACTGGCTAATATCCAGTCAATCTTTTCTTTATAATCATTCTTTTCAAACGTCGTACTATCATCATCTATACAGTTGATATAACCTTTATTGATTACCTCTTGTAACTGTCTTCCTCTTGCATTTGTTTTTCTTGAGCCCATATTATATAATGTTGCATTAAGATCACCTACTATGATGCAGTTGCTGTTTAAATTGTACAGTTCATTAAAGATGTTGATGTGGATTTTCGCTGTTGGTGGAACATAGATGGAAGAAATTAGTACGCTCTTTAATGATTGTGCAGCAATTTCAATAGCTATAATTTCATTTTTGCCCACAGTTTTGTTAAGTATTTCACTACATTTAATATGTTGTTTGACTGCAAGTAATACTTCACCACCAGGTTTTCCTACTCGGTCGTTTCTGAAAATGTTGTAACCTTTCAGAGAGAACGGTTGATCTCTTTTCAGGTTAGTTTCATTTACAGATATGACGTCGTATTTGGCGAATCTGGCAAGGAGTTCGTCTTTGTGTTTTTTGATAGAGTTGATGTTAATATGACAAACACTAATCTTCATTAATATTTGTTTTTAATTCTTTGTTATCAGTTGTAGTGGAATCTAATGAACTGTTGGGCGAACGATTTCGTTTGACTACTTTGGATGTTGTTTTTGGTTTATGTTGGGCTTTAATTGAAGTATCGGTAGTAAGAACAATTGTTTTAGTTACTTATATTCCACGATCCTGATCGATCAGAAACGGAACCATTGCTTTGTTGGATTGTTTGACAAACAATTTTCTACTTCATTGGTTACTGAAATTATTTTGATTCAGGGTGCGGGTGTTAGTAAGAATGGCGAGAAGACTTAAGCTTCACGCTCACCGCCTTCTACACATATTAGCTCACGGTTCAGCATTCGCTGACCTAACGACTTTGGGATGAATTTTACCCGACTGTTGATATAAGTGAGCATGAAGATCTCTTCGACAAAAGCAAAGTTAGATAAAAGATTTGAAATAGATATTAACCAAATTAGTAGTGGGTGCTAATTGCCCATATTTTATTATCTTTGATTAAAGACGTACCTCTTTTATCATGATTTACATAGGATAAATGCAAAAAGGCATCAAATGACACTTCAATATCTGTTTTCTTGGACACTCTTAAAATAACCAGCGTGGCAGCCTATGTCTAGACTTTTATCCCAAGAATGATCCGAACTGCTGCCCCACATACTGCAAAGTGAACACAAAAAGAGAGCCAGAAGCAGTTCCTACAATTACTCTAGCTAATAACTTGGTATTTTGTGTAATTATGCTTCGTACTTCGTGCTGGTTCTCTTTGGTTATTTAACCTCTTTTACTCGTAAAGTATCTGAAAAATAGATTGTTTAAAGAATTTTTCGGTGAAACCAAATACTTTCCCTCAGATCATCTTAATGAATGGCTTTTGAGTTTCGATTTGACACTTCACACAAATTATGTGGTCACTAGGAATTATGTGTTTTTCAATTTTCAGCTTTTTTAATTGTTTCTGTCATGAGGTACGAATATAAAGAGAAAATTTGCTTTGTCATATAACAGAATTTCCAAAATTAGTATCTCACGATAGAACTAGCGAGAAAAACTGAAACTTTGAAAACGGGCTAGCCCCATAGTGAAATTTATTTCTGCAAAGATTCAAGGTGAACCGATGAGAAAAGGCACAACATTGATAAATCTCTTTTAAAGTTTTAGTGTTGCCGATTTGTAGAACATGTTGAGTTATTAACTGATCTAATAATCACTCGGACTAATAGTGCGTTTAAGAGTAATTTTTTGGCGATTAAAGTTTGCATTAGCCTAAACACAAATAGTAATAGAATAGAAGAAGCAAACAGAAGTGTAGTCGTCGAGACCGATTTCAAGGTATTTTACATACAAAATACGCTACAGCATGTAGTAGTAGCATTAAAACTACGTCATGTTTCCAAAATAATATGTATAACTAAAGAACAGTTTCAATTGTTTCTGGTACACATAGTCTGTACGCGTACTGCAGCTAGGTATGCACCAGTTCCAGTCCCGACTGGGTACTTAATCATTTGATTTTTATTTCATTAACCCAATAGTATTTTACTCTTTGCTAATATATTGTAATGAATTGAATCTCAGGTTGTTAAAATACTGATATGAACTATAACATTGAATCAATTGACTATTCTTATATTTCTACGTGTCAGTCGTTATAACGTAGAATATTATAAATAGATTTGATCTGCATCTTTATTAAATTTTTGTGAGGGATTCATTCAGACACAGTTTTCTTTTATTATTATCTTTTTCACTATTTTATTCGCTATGAACAATTATTCTAGATAATGGATTTCTACCATTACTTGTTCCAGAGAGAAATGGTTCCTGTAAGATCAATACTTAAATTAAAAAGTAAAAAAGTCGGTCTCATTTTAATGAAAATCAAACGAATATGATTAACTTCATGCATATAATGGAAACTTGAAATCGATTAAAATAATTATTAATTTAAAAATTTTAATCACGAATGATTCTGCTTCGTATTGGGGAATTTTAAATAGTATCCATATTTTGCTAATAAATCGTAGAAGAATGTTCAGAATTTCTTGTATACATTCAAGATAAAACCATTTTGGGTCAGAAAAAGAAATTAGAAATCAAATTTGACAAATGATTATCAGTTGTTAAAAACATCAACAATCACTTCTTCATTTCACCCTGTTGCAGAATACTCTCTTCGTGTGAGCATAGTTACCAATAACAAATATATTTAATACTACGTTTATAATTTATGACAGATATAATGAAAGTTCAATTATTTGAGAATTGAAGAGAGAGAGAGAGAAACGTCTGTTGGCATAATGACAAATAAATCATATATATATATATATATAGGGGGAGGGGGGGTCAAAAAGTTTTGAGAGCTAGTAATATTTTTTTCAATAAGAAGCACATTATATTTATTTGTCTACGTCAAACGTTAGAAGACATCATAACAATGTTCGATAGCAAGCTCGATTTACTTTTGAATGATCTTTTTGTATTCATCGATGTGTGTCAAACTGATAGCTCAATTATTGCTTAGTTGTACTCGTCGATTCAGTACCAAAAATTTGGTGGATTTTATGAAACGGACACTGTGATGATGTCATGTGATGACAGGCGTTGCAAGGCAGATTAGACATAGCAGAATTAGGTAGAGGCAAGAAAGAAATTCTAGTTCGTAAAAAGAGAAAACATTTTACTTGTTGTAAGAAGATGACAACATGTAAAGAAACAATGTCATTATCTTTATGATAACATGGGCATTATTTATCTGTCAGATGCATTCTATTCTTGCTATTAATGCTATCTAATGATCATAACAGTGTTTAAAAAAGATTAGTAAAGAAATTTTCAACAAAGACTATCTTGAGGCATCGATGGTATCAAATCCATCATGGTACTGAAAATCGCATATAACAAGTATTGTTATTAAATTTCTCAAAGAAGAGAGAATTCAAAGATATGGTCTATCAGACACATTTAATTGGCTTCGCTTCATATGAGCTTCTGTTATTCAGCTATTTTGAAATATAGATTAAATATCTACTTAGATGCAATAAATTTAACTAAGCAACAGCCGAGCAATTAGTTTGACACATACCAATGAATACGAAAAGATTAGTCAAAAGCAAACTGGGCTTGCTATCAAACATTGTTATGATGTATTCTAATGTTTGATGTAGACAAATAAATATAATGTGCTTCTTATGGAAGAAATATTAGTAGTTCTCAGAACTTTTTAAGCCCCGGCCCCCGCCGCTATGTAATTTATCTGGTGACAGTTTTGTTCTTCCTTTATTTTAGAATTAACCAGCAAACCAATCTTCTTTTTCTAAATTTGTTATTTTAATAAAAATGTACAGCATGAATCGAACTTATATAGGCTAGAATCTGAATTCTTTGCAGATAGTTCTTCTAAAATCACAAACTGTACATCGTTAGTATGCGACTTTAATCTCATAAAGACTTGGACAATATACTGTTTCCTGATAAAATTTTAAGCTTTACTGTTCAATTTTGCGAAACAAAAGAACTTCTCGCTGTGCTGTTTTGTGTAAACTACTGATATAGGTCTAATTTATTTATAATATTCTACGTTATAACGACTGACACGTAGAAGTATAAGAATACTAAATTGATTTAATGTTATAGTTCATATCAGTATTTTAACAGCCTGATAAGCAATTCATTACAATATATTAGAAAACAGACAAGTATTCTTCGGTTAATGAAATAAAGATCAAGTGATTAAGTACCCAGTCGGACTGGTACCTAGCTAACTGCAACAACGTTTTTTTTCGAAGTTTTTTGACTTATTTTAGTGTTCGTTTGTTCACATTCGCAAAAAATGTTATTTAGAAAGAAGTATTATCTTATCACGTTTATAAACTACTTTCTTTTTCTAAGAAAAAGGTGTATACATATACAAGAGCATGGAAGGAGAGAAAATTTTCTCGACGATCATGCAGAGAAAACGTATATGATCAACATATATAGAGAGAAAAAAAGAATGCGCCTGAACGTACATACGTGCACGTACATATGATTACGGAACGAGAGAGGATACAGATAAAATACATATACATGATGTCATGACAATAACAGAAAGAGAGAACTAATGCATGCATGATGACAGCTCATAAATTAACTCAATTAGGGTACGGATCTGTGTGAGTATGAGTTTGATATACGTGTCTGTTTGTGTTTGCATAAGTATGGGTGGCTTTATGTGAGAGTGGATGTCAATGTTGGTGAGGTGTATATACATTTGCATGTGAGTCTGGGGAATGAGATTTGGTATGGGTGCATGATTGGGTGTGAATATAACTAAGATGTGTTTGGGTTTGATTTTCTACGTATGAGTATGAATCTTTTTTTCCCTGTACACCCACTAAACTTGTGCCCATATCCATACTAAAACATTCACTCTCACATGCACGCGTACACTCACACCCATACTCGTGAAAAAACAATCAAGGATTTCCTTTATATCGAGAACAAGCTAAAAATTGAAAATATTGTTCCCTAGAAATATTATTAGGTTCTTCTTGTAGAGATTTTAACGAACGTTTCTATGTTCAACGAGATTTTTCGATTTTTC